TCTGCGAGGAGGGGCAGAGCCTGGGGTGGAGGGAGCTTGTCTCTGCCTTGGGTGTCCTCTCACTAGTCACCTCCGCTGAGTGGTCCCAACTAACTGAGACCCATTCCTTTGGGGGTCCAGTGGGGATCACGTTTCCCGTGTGTAGAGTTCTGCTTGTAGCGGTGCTGAATTGCAGGTGCCCGTTTGGGACCCGCTCACCCAGTTGTGTGCAGTCTCTGGGTAGCTTTGAGTTTAACTTACCTGGAGTCATTTTCCATCAGCCATACGTTTTGCTGCTTTCCCGGGGGAGGGGTTGTGGGCTGGACTAGGAGCCATTGGAATCGGGATCACGTTTCCCGTGTGTAGAGTTCTGCTTGTAGCGGTGCTGAATTGCAGGTGCCCGTTTGGGACCCGCTCACCCAGTTGTGTGCAGTCTCTGGGTAGCTTTGAGTTTAACTTACCTGGAGTCATTTTCCATCAGCCATACGTTTTGCTGCTTTCCCGGGGGAGGGGTTGTGGGCTGGACTAGGAGCCATTGGAATCGGGCGTCCCATCAGAGTACCCTGCTCCTGCTCCCACCACCCAGAAACCCCGTCTCTGCCAGTGGCACCCCTCCTCCACATTCCCAGGTCCAGGGGCATTGCTCTGTTCCTGTCAAACAGCCTGTGGAAAGCCAAGGCTGACTTTTGCCAAGCGCTCGGGCCCTGGGGGGTCTGTGGGGTGCAGCATCGAGGAAGGGGGGGGGTGTCCCAGCACTTCACAGCTCTGCCCCTCTGTCTCCCGCAGGCAGCGCATCGCCGGCAACATGGACCCGGCGTGCGGGGCCATCGTGCACGTAGACTTCCCTGAGATCACCAGCGCCCTGCTGGAGAACCTGAACCAGCAGCGGGTGGAGGGCAAGCTCTGTGACATCTCCATCCACGTGCAGGGCCGGGTCTTCCGGGCCCACCGGGCCGTGCTGGCCGCCTCCTCGCCCTACTTCCACGACCAGGTGCTGCTCAAGAACATGACGTCCATCGTGCTGCCCAATGTCATGGACCCGGGTGCCTTCGAGACCGTGCTGGGCTCTGCCTACACCGGCAAGCTCAGCATGGCCTCGGACGAGATCGTCAACTTCCTCACCGTGGGCAGCGTGCTGCAGATGTGGCACATCGTGGACAAGTGCACGGAGCTGCTCAAGGAGGGGCGGGGCGCCGCCGGCCCCTCGCCCTCCTCCTCCTTCCGCGCCCACTCCAGTCGCACAAGCGAGAACCAGTCCCCCAGCAGCAGCAACTACTTCAGCCCCCGGGAGACGGGCGAGGGGCCAGAGCATGGGGCAGCAAAGTACCCTCTGCGGGGGGCGGCGGGCGGCGTGGAACGGGACGGATCGGAGGGACCAGACGAGGAGGTGATCTTCCAGGCCGAGAAGGGCCCTGCCCGCGGCCCTGAGCCCTTCTCTGGGGGCAGCCGGTTCCTCCTGGAGACAGACGATGACGTGAGCGACAGCGGCGGGGGGGGGGGGGGGGCAGTGGGTGTACATCAAGAAGGAGCGGCCGCAGGAGGACCTGGTACTGACCTGCGAGGAGGACGAGGACACGGTGGAGGTGGGGCCCGCCCCTGGTGAGCCCCCCCTGAGCATCAGTGACGTGCGCACGCTGACCCAGCCTTCCGGGGCCAAGCTGGAGGAGCAGGTCAACTTCTGTGAGTCCTCGGAGGACTTCCCCTCGGCCTACGAGGGCCTGGAGGAGGGGCCGGGGGCCGGCAGCAGCTTCGCCCAGCGCTCCCTCATGCCCATGGACATGCAGGGCAACCAGATCCTGGTCTTCCCCCCGCAGGCGCCTGTGGAGCATGGGGCCGTGCAGCTGGCAGCTGGCTCGGGTGACGGCAACAAGATCTTCATGTGCCACTGCGGCAAGGCCTTCTCCCACAAGAGCATGCGGGACCGGCACGTCAACATGCACCTCAACCTGCGCCCCTTCGACTGCCCCGTCTGCAACAAGAAGTTCAAGATGAAGCACCACCTGACGGAGCACATGAAGACCCACACTGGTCTCAAGCCCTACGAGTGCGATGTCTGCGCCAAGAAGTTCATGTGGCGCGACAGCTTCATGCGCAAGGAGCAGGCTGGCGGGGCAGGGGAGGGCGACTGGGCAGCGCTGCGGGAGGGCCAGGCTGCAGGGCGGTCTCCCCGCAGCGAACTGGGCTTTAGCGGGGGCACTGGGGCCAAGATGTGACCGCGGGGAGCTCCCTCCCCAACGGACCCTGGGGTGCAGAGACGCCCCCTCCTGCTGCCAGGGTGCCTCCTGGAACCCGCTGCACAGACTTACCAGTGAATGGACCCCTGCCCGCATTGGCCGCCTCTTCCCATTATGCTGTGGGGCAGGGAGGGGAGCTGGGGGAGACGGGAGCAGTGATGATTGTACAGACTGAAATCTCTCTCGGGCCCCTAAATTGTGAATCCCTTCCCCCTGCCATTCTGGGGCTAGGAGGGGGCTGGATTCCTTGGCCTGTGGCTTTGTGGGTCCCTAGCTGTGTGCCCGGGCGGAGGCTAGGACTCCTGGGTCCTTGAGGAACTTGTAACACTAACCCCGTCCTTGCTGGGTGGGGACTCCTCCCATGCACATGATGGGCTAAGGAGCTGGGGGGGTCTTTATGGGGCGTGCCCCTCTGTGCTGTATGTAGCAGGCCGACCTGTGGGTCGGTGAGTCTGTGTCCCTGTCTATCCAGCCGTCTGTGATTTACTTGCGTTTTCTCGTCTGTGTAATGGAATCTGCCACCCACTCCTCTGTCCCTTCTTGAGCGTGGGCCCGGCCCCATCTCCCCTCAGGCCAGCCCACCTCCACCCTGGAGCCGGGCCTCCTGGCTGGGGGGGATCCGGGGCTGGGCCCAGCGGCAGGCGGGCAGGGGGCGCTGGAGATGGACCGCAGCATGCTGGAAGGGCAGGGAAGAAGTATAATGCCTTGTGGGACTCACGCTGAGACGCCCTGGGCTGCTGTGCTCCCGCTAGCCCGCCCAGCCCAGGAGCAGCTGCCCAGGTGGGCTGTGGGTGGCTGAGCGCTCACCAGGATTAGCAGGGTCAGTTCGGGGCAGGGACCAGAGCAGAGCTGGCCTCTGGGGGGGATAGGACCCATGTCCCCCTCACTTTGTAGTGGGGGTTCCTCTGTCCCTCCCTGGAACAGCGCCCCCTTCTGACCTGCTCCCGTCCCTCCAGCTCTTCCCTCCCTGGGGGCCAGAGCCCCTCCAGGGCTGGCCTGGCCCGCACCCCCTTCCCACAGAGAGAAGCTGCAGGTTGGTACTACACCCTCCCCGGCCCCACGGGGCATTCCAGGGGGAAGGGCTGGTTCCCGGGTATTTGTTTTAGTAATCCCCCCATAGCAAACTGAGCAGGGATAAGGGGGGGCTCTAACACCCCCCCACCCAGCGCTGGGCTAGTGGGGAAGCTGCTGCTCTGGGCCTGCAGATTCCTGGGTTCTCTCCCCAGCTCTGGGGCCTGAGGGGCAGGACTGGAAGCCAGGACCCCTGGGTTCTCTCCCCAGCCGTGGGTTAGCAGTGGGGTGCGGTAGGGTGAAGGGGTTGGGGGAGGGGAGCCAGGACTCCTGGGTTCTCTCCCTAGCCGTGGGTTAGCAGTGGGGTGCGGTAGGGTGAAGGGGCTGGGAGAGAGGAGCCAGGACTCCTGGGTTCTCCTCGTTACAGAGTAAGTCTCCCCCCGTTGTACCTCTGTGCCTGTTTTCCCTGCTGCAGCCTGGGGTGCTGCTCCCCCTCCTGGCGCAGAGGAGCTGGGTGCGGTGCATCTGCTGTGCTCAGAGCAGGGCTCCCTGCTCCCCGTCCTGGCGCAGAGGAGCTGGGTGTGGTACGTCTGCTGTGCTCAGAGCAGGGCTCCCTGCTCCCCGTCCTGGCGCAGAGGAGCTGGGTGTGGTACGTCTGCTGTGCTCAGAGCAGGGCTCCCTGCTCCCCGTCCTGGCGCAGAGGAGCTGGGTGTGGTACGTCTGCTGTGCTCAGAGCAGGGCTCCCTGCTCCCCGTCCTGGCGCAGAGGAGCTGGGTGTGGTACGTCTGCTGTGCTCAGAGCAGGGCTCCCTGCTCCCCGTCCTGGCGCAGAGGAGCTGGGTGTGGTACGTCTGCTGTGCTCAGAGCAGGGCTCCCTGCTCCCCGTCCTGGCGCAGAGGAGCTGGGTGTGGTACGTCTGCTGTGCTCAGAGCAGGGCTCCCTGCTCCCCGTCCTGGCGCAGAGGAGCTGGGTGTGGTACGTCTGCTGTGCTCAGAGCAGGGCTCCCTGCTCCCCGTCCTGGCGCAGAGGAGCTGGGTGTGGTACGTCTGCTGTGCTCAGAGCAGGGCTCCCTGCTCCCCGTCCTGGCGCAGAGGAGCTGGGTGTGGTACGTCTGCTGTGCTCAGAGCAGGGCTCCCTGCTCCCCGTCCTGGCGCAGAGGAGCTGGGTGTGGTACGTCTGCTGTGCTCAGAGCAGGGCTCCCTGCTCCCCGTCCTGGCGCAGAGGAGCTGGGTGTGGTACGTCTGCTGTGCTCAGAGCAGGGCTCCCTGCTCCCCGTCCTGGCGCAGAGGAGCTGGGTGTGGTACGTCTGCTGTGCTCAGAGCAGGGCTCCCTGCTCCCCGTCCTGGCGCAGAGGAGCTGGGTGTGGTACGTCTGCTGTGCTCAGAGCAGGGCTCCCTGCTCCCCGTCCTGGCGCAGAGGAGCTGGGTGTGGTACGTCTGCTGTGCTCAGAGCAGGGCTCCCTGCTCCCCGTCCTGGCGCAGAGGAGCTGGGTGTGGTACGTCTGCTGTGCTCAGAGCAGGGCTCCCTGCTCCCCGTCCTGGCGCAGAGGAGCTGGGTGTGGTACGTCTGCTGTGCTCAGAGCAGGGCTCCCTGCTCCCCGTCCTGGCGCAGAGGAGCTGGGTGTGGTACGTCTGCTGTGCTCAGAGCAGGGCTCCCTGCTCCCCGTCCTGGCGCAGAGGAGCTGGGTGTGGTACGTCTGCTGTGCTCAGAGCAGGGCTCCCTGCTCCCCGTCCTGGCGCAGAGGAGCTGGGTGTGGTACGTCTGCTGTGCTCAGAGCAGGGCTCCCTGCTCCCCGTCCTGGCGCAGAGGAGCTGGGTGTGGTACGTCTGCTGTGCTCAGAGCAGGGCTCCCTGCTCCCCGTCCTGGCGCAGAGGAGCTGGGTGTGGTACGTCTGCTGTGCTCAGAGCAGGGCTCCCTGCTCCCCGTCCTGGCGCAGAGGAGCTGGGTGTGGTACGTCTGCTGTGCTCAGAGCAGGGCTCCCTGCTCCCCGTCCTGGCGCAGAGGAGCTGGGTGTGGTACGTCTGCTGTGCTCAGAGCAGGGCTCCCTGCTCCCCGTCCTGGCGCAGAGGAGCTGGGTGTGGTACGTCTGCTGTGCTCAGAGCAGGGCTCCCTGCTCCCCGTCCTGGCGCAGAGGAGCTGGGTGTGGTACGTCTGCTGTGCTCAGAGCAGGGCTCCCTGCTCCCCGTCCTGGCGCAGAGGAGCTGGGTGTGGTACGTCTGCTGTGCTCAGAGCAGGGCTCCCTGCTCCCCGTCCTGGCGCAGAGGAGCTGGGTGTGGTACGTCTGCTGTGCTCAGAGCAGGGCTCCCTGCTCCCCGTCCTGGCGCAGAGGAGCTGGGTGTGGTACGTCTGCTGTGCTCAGAGCAGGGCTCCCTGCTCCCCGTCCTGGCGCAGAGGAGCTGGGTGTGGTACGTCTGCTGTGCTCAGAGCAGGGCTCCCCGGTCCCCGTCCCCGTCCCCGTGGCTCCCCCTCCTGGCGCAGAGGAGCTGGGTGTGGTACGTCTGCTGTGCTCAGAGCAGGGCTCCCCGTTCCCTGTCCCCCTCCCCGTGGCTCCCGTCTCGTCCCTTTTGTAACTTGATTCTGTTGGTTTTTTAATGTCTATAAATATTTATTGGTCTGTTGACGCCTGGCTCCTGCCTCTTATTGTTCCAGTGCCCCCGAGGGGGATAGTCACCCACGGGCAGCGCCCCTCCAGGAATGGACCCCAAAATGGCATGAGGTCCCCCCGGCTGGGATCCCCTCCGGCCAAGTCCCCCTCTATGCCAAGCTGGGGCCCTGGACGCAGCCGGCCCCCCAACGCCCTGGCACATGCTGTTTTGAGGTTCCTGTCTGTCCTTGTTGCTGGTTATATCACACACACCCGGTCCCGTTACACAACCGGCACAGCAAGCCAGATTCACAGCCCAAAGGGGCTGGGCATGGGGTTATATAACCCCCCCCCCGTGGGGCACAGGATAAAAGCAACCCCACAACTGGTTTGAGCCCAAACGCAGGGGAAGAGCTGGGTGACACTCCAAACGCTCCACCCCAGTGAGTCGGCAGGAGGGTGGGGGTTCAGAGCTTGCGGTCTCTGGATTTGGAGGGGTCCTGGAAGCTGATCCTTTTGGGCTGAGGGACTGTTGGGGGGCCCTGGGGGCTGATCCCACTGGGCTGGGGGAACTGGTGGGGTCAGAGCTTGGGTGTTTGGATTTGGGGGGCTCTGGGGGCTGATCCCACTGGATGGCAGGTGCTGGGGGGACTAGTGGGTGTAGGGG